AAATACAAAGATATTCTGGACTGGGGCCGAAGTGAAGGGTTGCTATCGGGTGACGAGTATGAATTTATTCTTAATCATCATCCAAGGAGAGCAACAGTTTACTGCTTGCCCAAGTCCACAAAAGCTTAACCCTACCTCCAGGGCACCCCATAGTGTCAAGGGTTGATAACCTGACCCAAAATGGGAGCATTTATATTGACTAAATTTTGAGACCTTTCATTGAAGGACTACCGTACTATATCAAGGACACTATGCAAACCCTTGCCCTCCTCTCAAACCTAAAGGTGACAAACTTGGCTGCCCTTTGTCAGGATTACAAGTTGATCCAGCACACAGTACTGTGTCACATCTAGGACTAAGGATAACGTATAACCGGACCTTAGAATGGCCGGACTTAATGTCTCCAAAAATAGTCAAAATACTAGTCGCGGTCAGGGACACAGAATCAGACACAAAGATGAGGGAAAGCCAAAAGTCAAGGATACCAGATATCAGGCAAGTCAAAACAAAGCCAAAGTCAAATACCAGAAAATCAAGATCAGGTAAATATACCTTTTGTGAGTTATGTATATTTAACCTGATTTGTTTCCCTTATATTGAAGCACACTAATGACCATAAACTGTTAAATCTAATTTAACTATCCACAACATAATATGTTGGAACATTACATATGGGTTTTGTTACCTTTTTTTTTTTTTTGGATATGTTTTATTATTTATTATTTTAGTTTTTTTACTAATAGCCATTTTTAGTCTCTTTAATGGTTTAATTTTATGGCAATTTTTCCACAAAATATATAGGTAACCAACAATTACCAATTTATGCCTTTGCCTATTTATTTTCACTTTAAACACTTTTATACTCAGATTCTGCCATTTTCGAACGGTTGTTTAACTAAAATGCTGAGTTTACATATGGACTTTAACTGGTTTTAACAGCCTCCTATAATCTTTATCTACCTTGAGGGGTTAACTTGCACTAATTAGTTAAAGGCATTACTGATTGTGGGGGCATGCCTATATATCCTCTCACCGCCCCCTCTGACATGTCGTCACTTGATTGGCCATGTTACATCTTGAAAAAAGGTGCATCATAGCGCCGAAGAGCGTGTAGAGGAGGATGCCATTATAGGCGATTTCTATTTTATTAGGGTTTCCTAGGGGTTCTGCAATCATGCACTTTGCCAGGATAGTAAGCTTAGCTTCTTTATTTTAGAGCTGCCTCGAAGCAACTAGAGAGATTTGGGGGGTGTTAGGATCTGTGTGGTACTGATTCTGCGTTTCATATGGTTGGGATTTACCTTTACCTTTACCTCTAAGCACTTGTACCACACCAGTATCTGTATGAGAGTAAGGTTTATGGTTTAGGACCTTTAGAAAGGTCTATGGGGTATGCTTTAACCCTGGTTTAGGTGCCTTCAGACACGGTATTCACCTAGGTTAGCTACCTGGACTAATCCCAGATACCTCTCATATATATATTTACTTTGATCCAGCCATTCTGGATGACTGCTGTGTTGTTGGGGATTTTTTTTTTTTTTTACCTTTTTCTTTGTAACTATAATCAGGGTTGTGGTTTGTAGCGGGAAAGGGGGTAGGTAATTATTGCTATGAACTCCTACCCTCCTGTTTTCCCCTTTAAATCTCAAACTCACACTCTTTTAAGTGGAGTTTGGTCTAATTATTAAGGTGGGGGTGGCAAATTAACACTCTATACACCTACCCTCCTGTTCCTTACAATCGGACTCTAATATACCAGTTTACTTCCATTACCTTACATTATCTCTATCATTGTATCAACCCATACCTTTTATTCACCTTTTTGAATATCTCTAATATTTCCAATATCTCTAACTTTGAATCTAAATGCTAAGCTTTATTCTTCTGATCCCCGTAGACTGCTGCTATTTAATTGCCTACATTTTAGCCTTCCACTTGGAATGTGATTTTATTACTAAACAGCTGTCTTTCTTGATACTATCTTTCTACTTGAATGCAAAAGAGAACAAAAAAAGGTTAAGTCAAAGAAATATAGAGTATTCCAGATCTAACCTTTAGTAAGGGGAACCCTTGTAAACTAATCTCTGTTAAAACATAACTTTTAATAAAACTTAACTAAAAGTACTGTATACACATGCTCAGTGAAAGGGGAGAAGGGATCAGCACTAGAAAGTACTTGCTGAAGTAGTTATAGTACCTACGGCATGGGAGTAGTCATAATAAGGTAGTCTAAAGTCCAATTTAACCAAATTAGAAAAGTAGATAGATATATCTACAACTCCCATCACCCAGTGCCAAAATATCGTTAACACCCTTTCCCGTAATGCTACAAGTATAGCCGAAGCTGATTAACTGCTAGCTACATATCCATTCTAGATCCAGTAGATAAAAACAATAGCAAGGTGGCTAATCGAGGAGGGAGTAAAGCGGCAGCATCATCCCCATTAACCTCTGCCACCCACTACTCTAAATTCCCGACGCACGTTTTGACAACTATCAGTTCTTCCAAGGGAAATCCTTTCTTCTTGACTGGTGATGGTTTGGCATAACATTGTCGGGAGTCATTATGTACTAGGAGATCTCTGAGGTCCATTGGTCCCCCCCACCCGGCGCTTACTCTGCGCGGGCCGGGGCTGCAACACATGGCGGCGGGCACCTGGTTGCAGTGGTATGTACGCCAGTGCATACAGATACACATAGACTTAAAGGACCACTATAAGCACTCAGAACACTTCAGCTCAATGAAGTGGTCTGGGTGCCTGGTCCCTCTATATATACTTACTGATTTGAAGATAGGAGGAAATCTTCGGGCATATCCTATATTGCTAAGGGAAGTTTTTCTTTATTTGTTCATTTCACTATAATCACTTTAAGTTGTAATTTTTATATCACTGTATGTGGATTTTAGAATCATAGTCACAAATTTACGAGTGTGTGAGAGATTCTTTATATACCCCTCTAGTTTTAACCCTGCAGCTGAAAACATAGCAGTTTCAGAGAAACTGCTGTGTTTTACTGAGGGTTAATCTAGCCTCTAGTAGCTGTCTCACTGACAGCCGCTAGAGGCGCTTCAGCGATTCTCACTGTGAAAATCACAGTGAGAAGACGCTGGACGTCTTTAGGAAAGCATTGAGTAATGCTTTCCTATGGGCTGTTTGAATGTGCGCGGAGCTGAGAGGCGGATCAGGGCGGAGAGATCCCCAGCGCCAAGGGAGCCCGGTGCTGGAGAAAGGTAAGTGCTGAAGGGGTTTTAACCACACACACACTCTCACAAACAGACGCATACACACTAGCTAACAGACACACACTCAGTGACAGACATACATACACACTCACTGACAGACAGACAGACCCATGCACACTCACAAAACATACACTCTCACTGACAAACACACACACTCACTAACAGACACCAAACAGACTCACTAACAGACACACACTAACAAACACACACAAACTAACACACTCAGTAACAGACACACACTCACTGACACACAAACTAACACACACACTGACACTCACTAGCAGACACACACTCAATAACAGATACACACAAATTAACACACTCAGTAACAGGCACACATACACACACACTGACACACAAAAACTAACACACACACTAACACTAACACACATACATACTCAAATTTTTTTTTACATTTTAATACCCCAGCATCCCTGTGGGGCAGCGCAAGGGAGCTGGGCAGAGATCGCTCAGGGGAGAATGCTCCCTCGTGCGCCCGTTGGTTACACCACTGCCAGCCTCGGGGGGGGGGGCCCTGAGGTGGCCAGCTCCTCGGCCCCCCAGGAGAAGAGGCTGTCAAACAGACGTACATACCCGGGTCACAGGGCGGCCGGGCCCGGACACAGCTGCGACCCCTGCGACCACGGTATGTATGCCAGTGGCTATAGGTTCAATTAGACCTTCTTTTGCAGACACTATCGGTCTGCCCGGGGGTTGTTTTTCCGAATTTTAATGGATTTTGGGTAATGTGTCCATTCCCGGATGTTTTGGGTGTTTTACATATAGAAATGTGGCTGTATTTTCATCCAATTATCGATGATACAGCCCCTCCTGAAACAATTTTTCAATTCTCTTTTGGAATTTACTTGCCGGATCGAAAGTAAGCTTAAGATATGTGGTCATGTCTTGCAATTGGCGTAAGATTTCACCTTTGTAATTCTCATATGACTATCACCATGTTGCCACCTTTATCTGCCGGACGAATTACAATTGTGGGATCTTGAATGAGATCACGTAGGGCCATATGTTCATCTTTGAACAAATTATATCTATCACCAAGTCTAGTCAATACTTGGATGAAAATACTGCAAATTTCTATAGGTAAAACACCCAAAACATCCGGTAATGGACACATTACCCAAAATTCATAAAAATTCAGAACAACCCCTGGGCAGACCGATAGTGTCTGCAAAAGAAGGGCTCATTGAACC